GGGCCGCGCTTCTGGATTTTCCCCTCTATTTTTTTTTTTTTTTTTTTTTTTTTTTTTTTTTCTTCTGTCATCCTGACAGCTTTCAAAGTCCAGTCCAACCCTGACTTTCTCCAGCTGACATCAGTACTTCTACCTCAACTCTCTTTGTGACCCAACAGGATCCTGCTTCTATACCTGTGTCTCAAATCCTAAACATTTTAAAAACGAAGTCTTCAACTTAAAGAGCATTTGGATTTGGATACTGGTTGACAAAAGCCTTTTTTTGTTGTTTGTTTTTCTTCCCCTGTCTAAGTCAGGTCATAGCATTTGGGTAGCTTGTTAGTAGAGAAGCAGTTGAATTGTTTTGGAATCCTACATAGCTGGCTTGTATCTGTATTTCAGCCTTTCACAGGAAAAGCTTCCTAAGAGATCGTCAGGTAAGTCAGTTTGGCTGCCTGCCAGGTTGCTTTTTTTGTCTTTCAGGTTAAAGCTGAACTTTACTACAACTCTGTGTTAAATTCCTAAAGCCATTAACTGGATGATGGAAAGATGGTACATTCTCTCCATAGCTAAGGTTGGTGCTAAATTTTTTAAGAAGGATTTTTGCATTAACCTATCAAGCTTTTGTCTTTCATGTGATCCTCATCCATTGTACAGAGACCTTGTGTGAATTGTTTTCAGGCAAGTACTTTTTTTGAGACTTGCCTTGAGAGCGCTGTCATGTTAAACTTGATGCATAGTGTGTAGTTATACAGTGACATGTTTCTTATGTGAGGGTCCTTGATGAATTTTCAGTGTGTAGGAGTGGTTTTGAGGATGGAGGGAAGTTAGTTTTGGAGTTGATCATTTGTACAAAGATCTGATATCCTGCATATATCAGGATCTCTGTCAAATCATGATGGCCTGCTGAGTTAATCTGTTGGGCTCCATAGTTTTGAGGGAGACTTAGGAGGGCTATTATACAGGTAATCTAACTACATCAATACAGTTGGATTACCTGCATAATAGGTAAGCAGAGTGAGTTAATATCATCTCCAAGATTAATGTGATAAATTTGGTGGTAACCCAAGGTTTCAGGCTTATGCCACCTGGACGATTGTTAAAAAAAAATAAAACAGTTTTCTGATGTTAAAGGAATGTAGAGGCCTGTGGCTCACCCTGGTACAGCCCACGAGGTGTCTGGCCCCTGGCCACTTACAAGTTGGACAGCCCTACTGTATACAATTCTTTCCCCCCCACCCAACTTAAGCCACCTGTATGGCACAGCTATTATTACATAGTCCAAGTTGGGCAGGCTTTTTTGCACTAACATCCTATTAGCAGCTATGTCTGCTGAACAGCCTCTACCTCCTCTTCTTTTAGAATTCCAGCTCATTTCAACTGAGCAGGATCTTTGTCCTAAAAAATAAAGTTTACTGAAGAAATTCGTAGTAGCTAGGGTCAGGAGGGACCTGAACAGATCATCTAGCCTGACCCCCTGCCACAGGCAGGAATGAATGCTGGGTTCACAAGAC